AATGACAAGCATATACAGGGTATAGTGCACAATGCAAGCAAGCAAACAGACACATACCTTATGCGAAGGAATGTGCTCTTAGCATTGTAAGGTGTCATCACAAGATAGCAAACATTCATCACTAATATACAGTGGTGTATATCAATGACGAATGTGTTGATAGTGTGGTAGTGTGCATGTGAAACATACAACACAAGTGAAGATGAGTGTGTCGTTAAGGTGGTGACCCGGAGGGTGGGTGTGTCGTGGAGTCAGTGACCCAAAAAGTGGGTGTGTCGTGGAACTCAAATGGGTGGGTGTGTAGCGGGGGCAATGACCCAGATGGTGGGCGTGACGGAGAGGCAGTGACAAGAAGGGTGGGTTTGTCGGAGAGGCAGTGACACAAAGGGTGGGTGTGTCGAGGAGGCAATGATCTAGAGATTGAATCAAATAGACAGAACACACGATCAATTTGAACAGGTCAGTGCGACCAATCAGACGAATCAACGGAAGATTTTTTGCCGCATTGATCGAGTCGATGGGGTTGATCAGGCGAGCCGACTGAACACATTGATCAATCCTATATGCCTGATTCGATCAGGCTGGTGCAGCCGATTGAACAAATGGACAAAAGATTGTTGGTCGAATCAATCGGGTCAATAGATCGAGCCACCGGAACACATCAATTGATCCATTCGGGCCGGTGCGGATGATTGGACGTGTTGACAGAAGATTTTTTGTCGTATCAATCTAGTCGATTAGGCCGATTGGGCGAGCCGATAGAACACATGGCAAAATCGATAATTTTATGCATATTTAAAAAAATCTATGCAAGGCAAGCAAAACAATGCAAATGCAAACAACATGTATATTAAAAATGAGATTTGATCGTCGCTGACTACAAAACCGACTCACCCTAACGATCTCACCGGTCACCCTAAGGGTTATCGACGGAAGAAATTTCATGGGGAAAATCATGGGACTTTCTATTCTCTATGCCTAAACAACGGATTTCACTCCCCTCCGTCGTGCGAAAGAATTCACCGGCCCAAACGCGGGGTTATGACGACCCCGGGCATTGGGAATTTGTGCTAGAAAGAAAAAAAAAGGCAAGTTCTGCTCATAAAAATCGCAGGGGGATTGCAAAAGCTCGTAACATATGCGGCTTCTTTTAGGAAATAAACAACCAATTAATAGTCAAGTGACCATAAAGTTGGTCAATCAAAAGGCGTATGACTGATCGTTATCGTTCGGCCAATCAGACTGTCCGATAACGAGCTATCGATTGAGTCAGACGATACCGAGTGGCCAATCATACTCGCCTCGTGTGGGTGACCAAACCCACACCACCTGGCAAAATCATTCCTAGAGCCGGCTAAGAAATAAAATGCAAAGGGTTTTAGGGATTTCACCAATGTGAAGGTTGTGGACATCCTACGTTTATGTCCCAAATGAAGCTCTCCTAACAGTATAAGAGAAGCCTACCTAAGTCATTCCCCAAAGTAATGAAGAAGCTCTCCGTTAGAAGGAGAATCTGCTGAGATTCCAAAGAAGTTCCAATCTTTCGATGTCCGGACCGTGCGCCGATGTATCTCTCAATACATGCATGAAACGAGTGAAAGAGCGAGTGAGGTATAGAAACACTTACCTTTGTGAGAGGGGTTGTTAATGGCTGTTTGCGCCGCAACGTGGTGGACGCCCCGCGACAGCTTGGAGCTCCAGTGAGGCTACACCACACCCCCGCCGGCATCCCGATGGCGCCGCCGCCATTGCTAGTGGTCGAAGACCGCCGACCTTCCTTTTTGCCGAAGTACCCCTCGTGTCGGATGTCCCTATTTCACGTCAAAGGGTGATGTGTCACGGCTCTACTTTTACTTGCAGCTGTTGACCCGGGACGTCGGCAACTCCGTCAGCTTGCTCTCCCTTTCGGTCAGAGCCCCTCGCCGCTGGCGATCACAGTTCCAACCCTCGATGTTTCCTCCCCTTTTGGTATTTCGTACGACTGGCACCTCTCTTGTGGCCGGCGAACTGGCCGTCGGTGTTGAGGAGACCATTGGCAAGAGCGGGTGCGAGCAGGGCGAGCACCGTGAGCGTGAAGGAGAAGGAGGCGGGTTCGGCTGCTTAGTGGGGTGGCCAGCGGCAAGGCGAGTCGGAGCAGCGACGGGAGAGGAGAGTGACGCACTCGAGAAAATCAAAATGGGGTAGGGCCCGCGAGTCAAAGCCGCGAAAGAGAGCGGGGTGCTTGTTTTCAATGTGTTTTTTTAGTTATATATACGTATATATAATGAAACCCGACTGATACTACATAAATTCGTCTTTCAAACGCACTCACAGAATTTGTTTTGTCATCTAAGATCGTAGGGACAAATTTATTACAAACGAGTTAATTTAAGTTTGTTTTGTGTGTGATGTGGTGAGTGGGGTCGTTGGTCTAATTGAAATCAACCAATAAATAAAACGTCGACCAGCCTTTGCCTAATCGATAGCCAGAGTCCAGCATCCAACAAGCATACATCTATCAATAGAATCTCCAACAGAAAGTCTATTAGTTGGTCTCTGTCAGAAAAAAAATGACAACCAACCTACGCTTGGGCGAAAGCCAAAGGCTAGCAATTTTTTTAGGGCTTTTGGGCGGGCTTGATGGTCTGTACAATGGACTATAAATACCACAGACTCGTAGCGAACTTGTAGGCAGATCCCAATCTCCTACTACGCGAACCTCGCGGGTGAGAGAAATAAAGGAGTTGCTCCATGACTTGATTTGATGTCTCAGAGATTTGATCCAGGAACCTCTCCTTGGAATCTGGAAAATTTATTCTCATGGATGAAACTACCCCCACAATGTTTGTCAAGCAAAAAGAAACAAAGATCATAAAGAGAGAAAGTTCAAAGAAAATTACAACGACATCGATGCACCTAATAATACAACAACCGAACCATCGAGCTTACAAGAACAGATGAAGTAATGCCAAATTGCCATCTATAACAATTGAAACATGGATTAATGCTAAGCAGGTCTAAAAAGACAAACAGTGACGCTACGATTGAAGGGAAGCTAGTCACTAGAAGTATAAGCAGAACCCTTGAGAGGGAGAGAACACACTGCTCAAAGCAGGTCCACAGATCTGCGGATTCGATGAGACCCGCAAAATAGGCAAATACAAGTCCTACATGGAATGAGGGAGAATTTTCCTTGCATGGGTTGCAGATCTTGCAAATGAATCCACAAAAAGTAAGTAAAACTCCCATGGTGAAGAGAAAGCCTCAACACCAACGGAGTCATCGACCTTTCAAATACGCTGGGATCTGCAAGACACGCAAGCAAAACTCTTGTGGTGAATAGAGAACCTCTTTCCCCAGTGGAGTTGCTAACTTGTTTTCGTTCCCATTTTTTTATTTTTTGGAGTCTCCAGTTTGTTCATCGTCTTGTAATTCCTTTTCTTGAATAAGTCTCTCACCCGGATCATAAGAATGATATGGAGAAGAAATGTACCGGAGAAGCAGAGGCATACAATGAAGAAGAAAAAAAATGAGAAGGAGAACATGGAGTGTCTGCATGCGACAAACTTTGCATTGATATGTCAAGTATGCCCACTCAAACAAGATCATATGGAGGCACATTGGACCAATATCAGCGAAAAGGATGCCTACATAAATTACCCATAACCGGAGTTTCAAGTATGTTTGTTTATTCAGGGGTGCATAGTACTCTCAAGAGGTCGTATCACATTTAGTTAATTACATCTTGGGGGTTGCCCAATAATACTTTTAATCAAAATGAGTTTGGCTTACATTAGTAGTGGTAACTAGCACAGGGCTATCAAATGACAATTATTTCACAAGGGGATGCCTCGATGCTTACAACGCTCCAATTAAACCGCGGGGCAGATAGTGAGTCTTTCGCAGTCCTCACATGGGTATTGGACTCCTCGCCTTATGGGGCTTGCAAAATAACTGATCATTTCGACTAAGAATGCCGATACATTAAAGCACATTCAGGTTGTAACCTCTCAGGATAAATCGTTGTATCCCAAATGAGTGGTAACTAATTGGTAATCAAACTATTGAGATTATACCAATGAAAGCAAAAGAAATGATAGGGCTCAACAAGGGTACTCAAAGGAATGGAGAAGTAATCCCTAACAAGTAAAGGTAGCCAAGTTGGGGCATCACAAACCTGTCATCCCAAGTCACTAAGATCCTAAGTCTATTTAGTTGTGAAGGTAGTCGTCCTAACACGTCTGGAGATCCCCCGTCAACAATCCGTGAATTGCGTCATCCGCGGGGACTTCCAGAGTCCTGAGGTCAAGGGAAATAAACTCTAACCTATAACTATTAGGTAGAGCTCAAATAGATGAGACTTATACTCGCAGAAGTGGCGAGGGTGCCACTGGAAAGAAAGAGGAAGAGATGTTCAACTATAAAATTGAAACCACTCATGAAAAAAGACTTACACCCCGTTTTTGTTGGGGAGTTTTCTAACAACCTAAACACGCTAGACCAGCACCGAATGCAACCACACCATTGCGACCGCACGAAGACCCATCCGAATTATCGTTCGGACACACAGTCGCCTCACTTAATAATTTCTCTTAAAGAGTGAATAAAAATAAAAGATTTATGATCCTTTGTTTGCTAGTTTATATAAACAAATGATGTGATCCCTGTATTTTCTACAAGAGAATTTAAAATTTTTTGAAAGTGACGATATTTATTTTGAAAGGTTAAATAAGCTTTATGTATTTTATAAATAAATTTAATATTTTAATTTGAGATTTATAAATATAAAAAGTTTGAGCTGTTTTGAGCTAAATACCCTATTTAACTTTGGGACATTTACATATATACCACCCAATTCCTATGTATTTACATATGTATAACACCTAAATTATATTTTTTACATTTATACCATCTAAATCTTCCATAAAACAATTCATAAACGCATCTATCATGTATAACGGAGGCTGACGAGTGTAAAGATTGAGGTATAGGCACCATATATGTAAATACATAAGAATTGAGGGTGTGAAGTCTACTTGCTTGTTTCCACCGGCACCGAGCTCGCTCACAAACCTCTCTCGAACCTGTACATCTAATCCCCATTTTCCATTCCTGAACCCTAACTGCGCAGCCTCCCGCAGTGACTATCGGTATAACATGCCGCCCGCCAGGAAATCTCTGGCCAGCAAGCCATCTGCGAAGTCCAAGGACTCAGCATCGGCATCGGAGTCTTCACCAGTGAACGCTTCAACCTCATTCGCCGACGTGAAGACACCGGAGACAGAGGCCCATTCCACCCTTCGAGATAACGATTCGTCAGAAGCTGATGCTGTCAACGCAGTTGCTCCAGCCGATGGAAAGACCACCGAGTCCCCCGCCATGTTCGAGGAACCAGCTGACCCGGCAGGCAAGGATTCAATTAACCAATTGGAATCCGAAGAGCCTTCGGGGAATGAAGATGTTGAGTTTGAGGATGAGGAGGCAAACGATGCGGTGGCAAAGATGGAAGCGGATGAAGGTAAATCACCACCTGAAATGATGGTTGCGCGCTGACAGCAGTTTTCAGGTTTTTTTTAGAAAGGAATAAAATGCTATTTCTTCCTGGACGGGATGGGATATAGCGATAACATTGCTAATTTTGCTTGTTAGATTTTACGTATGTTGCTATCTTATGCAATTTTATACCATCTTCGTCCTACAGTTAGGTATGCATATATGAGTCAATATATGGAGCTTGTCTATCGTTGTTTAACTTGGTACATTCAGTCCATTCCTCGTACCAAATGTATTGCCGAAAAGATTGAAAGAGAAACACTTTGGAAAAATGGATATACCTAGACGGGAAAGCAGAACAGGGGAGCGAAGTAGTGGTGATGTTTGGCTGTCAAGATTGGTGCAGATTAACGCTTACAAATATTTAGCCTTTTAGTTGAAGCTAGAAAGAAAGAATGAAACCTTAAAAATTGATTTATCTTGCTAAGATAAAGAACATGGTTAGTTTTATTTAGAACTTTTTAATGTACGTTTTTCAACAGATCTAGGCTTTTGCTTAAGCTGCATGGCATACAATACATGTAGTGAGTTTCTCAGAGCTTATGCGGTGATGCCATCATCAAGCCTTTTGGAAGGCTTCATCAACTGTGATTTTTATGTCAGCAGTCTGTAGTAATTCTGAGTTTAGTAACTATTTTGTGGTCTGCTTATCCATCTGAAATCCATATATGTGGTCCTTTGAGATGTCATAAAATTTACGTGAATGAAAGTACTTTCTTCCTCTGCTTCATTATTCTGTTTAAGTATTGTATATTACTTGGTTATGGATTTTATAGTGATATAGTTAACTTAGGGGACTTAATGTACTTTATGAAGTATATTTGCACCGATCTGAAATGTACCTCTGATTTTTATTTTTCATGGTAACTCTATATAGAGAGATGTATATTGTTCCATGAATTTGTGATATCTAGTTGAATTTCACATAAGTAATGATGAATTGCATGTAAATTAAACTTTCCTTTGAAGTTTTGGTGGATTTTGGTTCCCAAATTCTGACATTTTACTTTGGCTCCCATCAATCGACTGCATATACTTGAAATGTATGAACTTCTAAAGATTTCAGCCTGATCAGGTGTTGAAAAGACCTTTCACAAAGTTAACACCATAGATGAGGTTGAATATGAGGCCACCGGCTCAGATGATGCTGAAGGTGTTGATGGCGATGATGATAACTCCAGTGATGCTGATGTTGACAATGATGAGAACGAGGAGAATGATCAAACTCTGGATACGCAGGCTGCTTTGGCTGAGGGGAAGAAGCAAAAGGAATCCGAGATATTTGTTGGCGGACTGGATAAAGAAGCAGTTGAGGATGATTTGATTAAATTTTTTGGTGTTTTTGGAGATGTCCAGTCTGCAAGAATAGTTAGGAATCCAAAAACAAAAAGAAGCAAGGGGTTTGCATTTATTCGCTTTGCCAATTGTGAACATACAATGAAGGCCCTTGCCGACCTGAAAGATGGAACAGAGGTGGTTTAGGCTAAAGCTTTTTAGTTTCCATTCATCATTCATCAAGCTATTTCTGTGACAGCATTTTGTTATATATTCTGGTCAGATAAGTGACAGCTTTTTGTTATATATTCTGGTCAGATAAAAGGAAAACATGTTCGTATACAAGCTAGTCAGGATAATAACACACTTTATTTGGGGAACATCTCTAAAACATGGACCAAGGATAACGTATGATACTCCTTTTTCTGTAGATTTATGTTATTTTTGTTTAAACCAGTATTAAATAGTTATCACAAATACCATATATTTTAATACGGTTAGCATCAACGTGATATACTTTACTGTATCATCAATAGTACTTGTTTACTTTAGAATTTTGTGCTTCTAGGTGATCGAAAGGTTAAAAAGCTTAGGAGTTGAAGATTTTAATAACATGATTTTACCCAGCGATCCCAAAAATGAAGAGAAGATCAAGGGTTTTGCTTTCTTGGAGTTTAGTTCTCATTCTGATGCAATTTTAGCATTTCAACGCTTAAGAAAACCAGATGCAGATTTTGGTCGAGACACAATGGCAAAAGTTGCCTTTGCGCATACTTCACTGCATCCCAACGAAGATGATATAATGCGGGTAAATTATTTTTCTCATTCATTTGTTACAGTTTATTGTAAATTATGTTTTCTCCATTTCATTTTCCTCTTAGATTTTCTTGTGATTTCTTTTAAATTGTAGAATTTCTGCACTTATTTTTAGCCCCTCCCTACTTTGTAGAGTAGATAGTGAAGCACTGACTGATTCATGTAGGGATTCTCTATTGCAATAAAAAAGAAGTTCAGAATTATATTTTCTTTTAGTCATCTAAATGGTAGATAATCAATTAAATCTACTGGATTTTTCAGTTTGCTTTGCTTCTTACCTCATTCAAAGAGGAAACTTTGGTTTCAACTTGCTGCTTGTCAACGAAGGCATGTTTTATTTGTGAGGGGGTATCTGTTTCTGAGACCAACTACTTTTGCTGTGCAGCAGTTGTAATACTTAGTAGTTGCTTTTTGTAAAAGCTATTGCTATACTATGTACTTGGGTTTTTTATTTTATTTCCCTCTCTTCAATTTTTTTTGTAAGGTGGTCTCTGTAGCTGAGACCAACTGCTTTTTCTTGGTGTAATACAGCTGTTAAAATACTTTGTTTCTTTTTGTACAAGCGGTTGCTAAACTATATACCGTGGGTTGTTTATTTTATTTTCTTCTCTTCAACTTCCTTGTTAATGTGGTGATTTAAAGTTTTAGACAGTGGACTTTTAGCAAAAAATGATAATGCAAATGAAATACTGAGGATTGAAGCAGAGTTGTCAAATCAGTGTTTTATTTCAATATTTAAGTGTCAATTTTGATCACTTTAATTTACGAACATTCAGGTTAAGACTGTGCATTTTGATGGCATTCCTACATCCTGGGATGAGGAGAAAGTCAAAGAAATTTGTAAAGACTATGGTCAAATCGAAAGAGTTCTGCTTTCTCGAAATTTGAATTCAAGAAAAAGGAAAAATTTTGGATTTGTTGAATTCTCATCTCATGAAAGTGCATTGGCTTGTGTGGAAGGGATAAACAAAGCTCAAATTGTTGTTGGTGATGAGAAGGTAGAGTTTATTTAATTCTACATGGTTTTCATCTCAATAATAAGCATGTTTAAATCTGCTCCACTTTGGTTTAAGGTTGTTGCTAATCTTGCTCGATCTAAGAGCAAGGGCCGTTCGAAAGGTGGTTTTAAGAAAAAAAATGTTGAAACCATTCATGAAGCTGGTGGAAGTGGGAAGAAGAGAAAAGCTTCAGAGGTTTTCCTCAAGGACAAAAGGCATAACACAAAAATTTCCAAAGTAAGCACTCCGTTTACTTCCCAGAAGAGAGATTATAAGGGTAAGAGTGGCCTGCAAGCGTCAATGTCTCTCAAAAGGAGTAGAAATAGTAGAAAAGCCACGGATGCTAATGATAGTGGCCGTTCTTCAAGAAAGATGCACCAAAATAATAGTTACGGTATGTATACCTTTTGTTTTTAAACTAAGTTAGGTTTTTGCCGATGTCAAACATTTTTTTTCTCTAATGCACACAGGCAAGGCACGTGATCAATATTCTGATTATGTTGGCAACCATAAGAGATCTTACTCTGCAAGTCGAGAAGCAGACTCTTGTGCACGTACTAATTATGCTGGTTATGCAGCACCTTCAACTAATTATGCTGGTTATGCATATGCTAGAACTTCTGAGCCTCAGCTTCACCCCTCTGATCTAGTGAGAAGCATCTACTATTATTTTACTCCCTTTCTTATTAAGTGCATTTGCACTTGCGTTATATGTATATTTCCTAATGCGGTTACGTGTGTTTCAGGTACCTCATGCTGGATATATTCCTGCACATAAGCAAGGCACAAGTTCTTATTTGTACGATCGAAGAAGGTTTGTTTTGAAACTCTTGATACAACAATGAAGCTTTTAAGCCACTCTAATATGCTAATTTCGACTTTCTCATTGTTTGTTAGACCGGAAACTTACAACAGTGAACCGCCAAGCAATTTTGGATCGGATAGAGGTATAAGATTGCCTTCATCACCTAATCCTTTATTTTTTATGTAGGGTGCCAAAGGAACCTTATAGAATTTTCCATTTTTTTAGTACCACATTATTGAATATTTAGTATATTTATCAACTAGAGTTTGATAACCGTAACAATGTAGCATAACTACATGTTTTTCCAAATAGTGTATAGTGAAAAGAAACGTTCTTTTTTGTTGCTCTCAAACAACCGAAGTGCCTCACATCCCCCATCCGTGTAGAGAGGGATTTATGATGATAATGATGTTATATTAATAGAAGTAGATGGATGGAGAGAAGGGATGCGTAGGTAAGATTTGATACATTAGATGTGAACATGTGGGAGTGTTTTTGTGCACTAAGACTTTTAGACTTGCAAGCCTACTATTTTTATAGGACATATAAATCATTATTATCGCTAACTATGTTTCTATTTGCTATTAGCTTTATGAGTCTTTTTTTTATTTTAAATTCTGGGTGCTACTGGAGTATCCATTGTTTAAAATTGTGCAATCTAAGGTATGTCTAAATGTAATTCCGAAGAAAAACACTTTGCGTACACCTCGAGAAGCTAAGGCAAGGCATAGCCCTCACATTGGTTGAGGTTTGCCACAAGACGCAACTTGTTTCAATTCCGCTGAGGCATGTGTTTCTCGCGCTTAGATTTTTTCCCATTTATTTGACGGTTCAAATACGAACAGAAGTCGTCTCTCCAATCAAGCTCCCTAGCATCACTACTTGTTGCTTCTGTCGCTTGCAACTCCACTGCCGCTTGCGTAGCCACTGTTATCGATGTTGCCATTGTTGCTTCTGCTTCCATTATAGCAGTTTCTACTTCTTCTTCCATAGCTACTTGTTCCTCCTGTTGCAGCCACCACTGTCTACTACTCCTATTGCAAACATTGTTGTTTGTCGCTCCCACTATTGTCGGCACTAGCCGTTCCTCTTGCTGCTGTCGTCGCTAACTACTCCTACTGCTGCCGCTAGTTGCTCTTGCTGCCTCCACGGTCACCTATTGCTCAAGCTTATGAATATCTATTATGTTTTCATTTAAATTTATGGATCTTATTGTGTTAGTTGGAGAATAGGAATGAGAGAAATCTATTATGCTAAACTCATCTTATGTTTTAGTTTAATATTTTGTATTATTTTCATTTCATATTTTACATTAGTTTGATGGCTTGACAAGTTGATTTAAATTTTTTTTTTAATTTTTTAGAAGGTGTTACATGATATTTTGCGGCTTATGCAATTTTGGTTTTTAATGTAAGTAGGGGTGTAAACGAACCGAACATGAACGACGTTTGTGTTCGGTTCGTTTGAAATTTAGTTATTTGAAATAAGCTCATGTTCAAAATTGTTCGTGAAGTCACTGTTTGTGTTCGTTTCTTAACAAACGAGCCGAACACGAGCTGTTCGTGGACAATATTATATAAATATAATATATATATATTAGTATATTACTAATATAATATATTAATATATTATTATTATTAATTTATTACATATCATAATTAATAAAATTTAATTTTTTAAAATATCATAAATTTTTTTATATATAGTTATTTTAAATTATTTTATATTTCGAACAATAACTATTTGAACACGAACGAATGTATCACTATTCGTGTTTGGTTCGTTTAACTAACCGAACGAAAAATAACCGAACGATTTATTCACGTTCGTCTCATTTACTTATCGAATGAATCGAACACGATTCATTTATGAACCGAACATGAACTGTTCGCGAACACCAAGCTTTTTTGACAACCCTAAATATAAGCACAATTTATCATTTTTACAATGCATTAGTATTATTATGTTATTCTTTATTCTAATATATTATTTTTCACCCTTTCTTTTTACTTACGCAATTTTCAATTCGTGAGGTTTGCGCCTAAGACCGCATTGTAGCTTTTGCCTAGCTTCACAAACAAAAAATGCATCAATACCCAATTTCAACAATTTTAAACATTGTTCGTACCTATTATTTGAAAGTCTTTTCAAACAAAATTTATCCATATTACACTTAGGTTTGTCCCCTTCCTTTATAATCCCCCTTCAACACTACTGTGATCTATCCATCTAATGAATGTATTTTCTACTTGTCAATGTTTGTGTCTAAATAATTTGTCTATTTATAAACTACTTCACTTCACATTCTTTTTAATACAATTACTTTTTAATTTAGTCTTCCTAGTTCTGCCACACATCCATTTCAACAACCTCAAACTCAAATACTTTCAACATTGATAGCTAAATTGTAGGTGACTTTATGATATCCTTCTATCATCAATCACTTACATCTCTGTGTTAATTGTCGTGTGTTCATTTAGAAGTTATATTGTTATCGTTTTGTGCTAAATTCACGGCGGTAGAGTAATCGATTTTGTCTTTGCGTTGCACGAGAATTCAAACACACTTAGATAAAAGAAAATAACCGGTAGCGACACCAAAAGTTTTTTACATGGAAAATCTGTAAAGAAAAAAAATCATGAGGTCTGACTTAATTGTAAAAATCTACTATAAGTTGATGATTACAAAGATCTCTTGTCCCACAGGTGGGAAAATATTACAAAATTTTTCGGATTACAACGTCAACTTTCGAATTAACTTGTTATAAGGAATGAACGATGATTAATGATGATCGACGACAACTGACAAGTGGGGGCCGACAATGTTCAGCGGAGAAGTGATGCTGGCCTTCAGTTACTTATCAAAACTTCAAGCTCTTCCTCAAACCTCAAGCTTTTCTTCTTCCTCGTGAGAGAGATGAATCTCTATTTATAGAGTTCCAGCTAAAATAAATGAGGGAATATGACCCACTTTAATTGGATATCTCAGAGGGCTTCCCTTGATCATATGATGTTTGATGGACATTTGAGTGTCTTAATGATGTCATAATTAAGCAATCCCGAGTTTGTTAGATTTTTCTCGCCGAGACACTCAATTCGACTACAAACTTGTCGGATTCAATATCCATTTCAGCTCCCAAATGTGTCCTGAAAACTTCAAATATAGTTTAATGGTTTGATCAACACTCGATTTGGTTCAGATTGGATCAAAGTTGGTATCAATGTCTGTCTCGTCGAACCGGTTAGTTTGACTTTAAGTTTGTTGATATCAGAGTTTTAGATGAATTTTTATCGAGGTTTGAATAGTTCTTGCTCAAAAGGTTGCCTTGAGATTTGTGCCGGATGATGGAGATTAGTTGGAGGCATACCGAATTTCCCCTTTTTTTTGGGCATGATAAACTTCAACAACAACAACAACAAAGCCTTAAATCCCACTACGTGGGGTCGACTACATGAATCCTTTTTCTCATCCTTTTTCTCCATTACATGAATCCTTTTTCTCCATTACGTCCTATTTAGTGTCATTTTTTCATTTATTTCTAATAAATTAAGATCATTTTTTACACAATAAGCTCAAGTCATCCTAGGTCTACGTCTGACTTTCTTAACATAAGTCGAGTCTAAAACATCTACTCTCCTAATCAGATCATCAGATGGTTGACACTTAATGTGACTAAACCATCTAAGACGATTTTCTCTAATTTTGTTATAATCATTTCGCATTTTGTCTCTTAGTGTAAAGCCACTGATCCACCTAGTCATTCTCATATCGGCAACACTTAACTTATTAAATCCCACTAAATGGGGTCGGCTACATGAATCCTTTTTTTCCATTACGTCCTATTTAGTGTCATATTTTCATTTATTTCTAATAAATGAAGATCATTTTTTATACAATAAACCCAAGTCATCCTAGGTCTACCTCTGCCTTTCTTAACATAAGTCGAATCTAAAACATCTACTCTCCTAATCAGATCATCAGATGGTTGACACTTAATGTGACTAAACCATCTAAGACGATTTTCTCTAATTTTGTTATAATCATTTCGCATTTTGTCTCTTAGTGTAAAGCCACTGATCCACCTAGTCATTCTCATATCGGCAACACTTAACTTATTAAATCCCACTAAATGGGGTCGGGTACATGAATCCTTTTTTTCCATTACGTCCTATTTAGTGTCATATTTTCATTTATTTCTAATAAATGAAGATCATTTTTTATACAATAAACCCAAGTCATCCTAGGTCTACCTCTGCCTTTCTTAACATAAGTCGAATCTAAAACATCTACTCTCCTAATCAGATCATCAGATGGTCGACACTTAATGTGACTAAACCATCTAAGACGATTTTCTCTAATTTTGTCCGTCACAGGAGCTACATGTCGGCCGTTTTATAACCTTCGTTGGTTTGAAAAAGTGATTTTGTGATTTTGTGATTTTGAAAATAATTTAAATATAAATATAACCTTTTTTTATTTTTTTAAATTTTTAAAAGTAACATTTTAATTTTAAAATAGGTGAGACCAAACGGGTCTCACATTTAAATAGTTTAGATAATTGAATACAATACTACAAGTAATACACTTATCCCGAAGAAATAAATATATCATTTGTAATAGGAATTCAATCACCTAGACTAAATAATTTGTGACATCCGTTTTGGTCTGCGAAATATTTTATAAAAAGGCCAACAAGTTCCCCTATCTAATATAAAAATTAGATAGGGTTTATTTTATCTGACTTCCAGGTTCTCTATAGAGGCAAGCCTCTATAGTTAACTACATCTTAAATGATCAAAATCACTTAAGAAAACTCTCGATTAAGATCAGGTGGTTTTGCCTTTAAGATTTCAAAGTTTAAGTTTTCACGATTTGACATGGAAAAATCAAATGGGAATGGCTAAAAATAAGAACAATTATTTAAGGAATCCAAAGAAAAGAAAAGTATGGAATATCACAGATCTGGGGAAAACCCCGGTGAACTCTCAATTATCCTACTGTTTGGCTTTATGTCTTTTGAAATGATTTAATTTAATATTTCGATCTTGTAAATCATTTGGGACTTAGGACTTATGTTTGCACAATATCGGACTGTGCAAATAGCCTAAAAAGACAAGAGGATTTACACCGTACCACACGGTA